TAATTGATAGACTTAGAAATTTGGATTTGATATTCAAATTGCTTTAGCTTCAGCGAAACTTTACCTCGTTTAGCGAAGAATGTAATATTGAACGTCTGTTAATTAAAATCACCGTTCATTATATTTCTATCGCTGAGGAAAACGAATGTTCATTTTCCTCATCGTGAAACTAAAATTTATGGTAAAGATGAAAAATATTAATAAAATTCGACACAAATATCAAACGAGATCATCAAAAATAGGAATATCGCTAGAGTATTAATGAACGACATATTTTTTATGTGAAAATCTCTCTCTGGGATATATTGTGAAAGCTGTTTCTTCGAAAAATATCATATTGAGTTTTGTTTAATGAAAACATTCAGAATAATTTTGATTATACTAATATTATATGTATAACCCGATGATTTTTCCAAACAAAAATCGACTGTGAATTTCTTTAATACATACACTCGCACGCAATTTGTTTCTTAAAATATATTTCCAAAACGGTCTAAATTTCAAAGTGCCTACGATACGTATAGATAACGGACTCACCTAATCATAATATCTCGAAACAAGGCGATGTCGAACCAGCGGAAGCTCATTCAATAAAGAGGAAACGACGAGCAACCGACACTACTTGAACCCTTTGAACACTTTATCCACCGCGGACCAGTCACTTCTATTTTTTATTACACAATATGTAATATCAAATACGCGTGACTTGGCGGCTCATCCATAGAGACATAACTAAATCACGGAGAGGTCAGTTTGCGGTGAGTATGTCTGCCAATCTGTTAGCAGGGTTAGTACTACTGCCATTCCAGGGACGTCGAAATCGGGTGAACTAAATTCTAAATCCCTTCTAACCGAATGAAATTTGTTTAACATTCTTTATTGTCCATAAAAATGCGATTAAACACAAACATTTCCCGGACATAAAAATTTATCAGCAAATAAATATATTTCATATTGCGATACATGGCACAACAAGACTGAGAATGTCGGGTGAATCATTTCACCCTGTATACATTCGATCTCTCATGTGCGTTTAGTTTGCTATTGCAAATAATTAGCGTGGCGATTAATATGAAAGAAAGCGACGATTCGCGACAAAAACAAAAGAGAGATGGGCCCAATCTCTGCGCTCCTGCGCCCTGGCTCGTGTTAGATTACTGTAGAAGGCTTTATCCACTTTAGTCACCGACCGTCAAGCAATCATCCTATTGCCGTGCTGTAGTATCATGAATGACAGTAAGAAAATGCTACCGAGAAGCAGGCGATTGCCACGAGTTCCTCTGAAATATTGCAAGCTGTTCACTCGCGCCATCGTATTCCCACGGTCCATTTCGCGAGACAAAAATCGTCATTTGAATTACAATGCACGTATACGATGTTACAATTGAAATAGCTATTATAATACTAATTTGATAATTCGATAAAACATGCGAGGCGTAAACAGTAACATTATCCTCGTTACGTTATTATTATCCATATGACGTGCGAACCGACTTCTTCTCTTGCCTTAATTTTCATTCCTCTAATCGTAAGCGACACGAAGAAGAAATAATTTAGACCTATCAAATCTCATTTACATGTGATTCATTTTATCAATTTATTCCAAGATGTTTTAACGTCTTTGATGTACGCCGCATAACTATACTCCGATGTGAAAGGCAAGACTTTACGAGATGCTCCCGATTGTCCATAAAGTGCAGCTGAATTCTGCAACGTGAACTTTAAATCAGAGATCGAAACTTTGCAGCAATATTAGCGTAAAGTTTGCGTAAACGCCATGTACCACGGCGTACTTGGTAGTGCGATTTCGCCGGCAATGATTTTTCCATCTGTCTTTCTTTCCCCGTCTCTCTAGACTAGTTCCGGAATCGAGTTCATATCGCAATTAAAATAGACCGGCACGCGAGAGTTACCTATTCTTAATAGTTAACCTATGTATATCTATGTATAAAGAAACGTATAAAACATGATCGCGGATATTATACGGTACATTAGTATCACTGGCAACGATCTAGAACTGGTTCCGATCGACAGTCGCGCACGTTGACGTCTTGTTTTCTTACCCACCTAGTATGCATACATCCGGTCGATCTGTACTCCAGCAACTTTCCTACTTCATTCATGGACGCATTCAGTGGCCTTTGAAGGTTGCACCGCCGGCAGAAAGGAAGGAGTGGTAGGCATGGGTCGCGCGTGTCGCGGTGCGGAGAGGCCGGGGGTGCAGGAACGTGTGACCGAGGGAGGGAAACTTGGCTCTCCGCGGGAGAGAGAAGCTGCGGCCCATACCCATACATATATGCATATGGACCGTACACGGATAAACTCGCCTACCGAGCATTCCGCCCGCGTACGAAGTAAGATCCTCGGTCAATAATCTTTCTCACTTGATGTCACGCATAGCTGTATAAAAAAAATATATATATATATATATTATATAGCGAGAAAGAGATAAGAGATCGCGAGACTTTACTTTGCAAGCGTGCAATGCTATTATATGTACATAAACATGCCACCCCTCGAAAGCGAGATACGGGTGCACGCTCACCTGATTACGACACTGCGGGACCAACCGGCGCGGACCAGTTTCAGCATAATCCTTTCGTGGAAAACGCACCGTAGAACCACCGCTGGTCCGTGTGTGTGCGATGCATTCACTGAATATGCCCTGCGTTGTCTCATTGTCTACGGATTTATCTGAGAGCGCATGGATATCTTGTAAAATCCGATGTTAGATTGAATTCTCTCTCATGCATATACAATACGAGATTATAGAAATCTTACCATTAATTAATTCAGATTATTCGAATTGACTGTAGTTTGAGTGAAAAAGTCCCTCCGTATGTTATCAATGAGATTTAAATATCCTCTGACATCGCTTTTCCTTCCAACACTCTATCCGATTCACGTCACGAATTCTCAAGTCGCGAATATTGGTCAACTTCACTGTGGACGATTTCGGTCTCAATGTGTGTGTGTGTGTGGGTTAGTAACTACGGCCGCGAGACTTTCACCGTTCTCGCGTTGCTACGGCGAATAATGCATCTCTCTTTGCGAGTATCCGCATCCGCGCGCAATGCAATTCTCTCAGGAATGCGAGACGCGGGAAAGCTGAATGAATACTAATCTCTCAACAGTGACGTAAGCAACGTTCGAAAAGAAACAAATACCATCGCGATATATATATATATATATATATATATATATATAGATTAAGATTTAAACCTGCGCGGTAAACGTCATTCCGGATATATCGTCTCGCTCTGTTGTTGCATGCGACGATTACAAAGAATCTCCCTCAATTTCAACATTTCCTTGAAATTTTCTCCCGAATCCCTTGACGACCAAGACGCGTATAATGACCATATCTTCTCGCGAACGTATTGTGAGAGCCCCTCATCGTACAAACGTACTTGGATGATTTTCGATTTTTCTGGAGATCAACGTATTTTCGTTTCTTTGTTTTCGGCGACGAGCCGCGGAAGCGGCAGTGTTATTAAAATTTAATTGTAATATTTGGTTTTCTCCCACGGGTGACTGTGTTTAAGCGCGAGCCCTCGCGTCGGCGCAACGAATTTGAACGGATTTTTTTGATAATTATTAATTTATTCTTTTAAGTGTCCGAGATTCGATCTCGAACAGCAACAATATTTGATTTAAATTTTTAATTTATAAATTATGATAACCTTACAGAAGATAAATTATTTTTATTAAAAATAATTTGTTTATCACTCTTAACTAAATGCAAAATGCAAAAAGCTTATTACACGAAATCCGAAAAACGAAGTATATTCGTAGGTCCCTTCCTCACGCACTTAAATCTAACTGAAAGGTTCGTGTGTCAATAAAATTCTGTTTTACTAATACCCGCGCGATATATATATATATATATATATATATATATAGATTAAGATTTAAACCTGCGCGGTAAACGTCATTCCAGATATATCGTCTCGCTCTGTTGTTGCATGCGACGATGACAAAGAATCTCTCTCAATTTCAACATTTCCTTGAAATTTTCTCCCGAATCCCTTGACGACCAAGACGCGTATAATGACCATATCTTCTCGCGAACGTATTGTGAGAGCCCCTCATCGTACAAACGTACTCCGCGTTCCAACGAAAATTCCATTCCTCGGCCAGTTCCCAGGTACACAGGTATACCACACACAGGTAATCCGCTCGCGCGCACGTGCGTGAGAGCGCGCGCTAGAAAGGGTTGAGGTTATCGGCGGCGCCTCGCGAAGGAGGCGAGCGGCCGCGCGGGATGAACAGAGACGGGACGCTCACTACTACAGGGCGGCCGGGCCCGCGTGTATACACACGTGCACGTGTCGAGATGGCGCGGTGGTGGGGCGAAAACGTGAATGATCCATAGAGAGACGTGACGATGGTGTGCGAAGGTGTAGCGCGCGTCGCATTGGTGAGAGTGCCGTCGGCGTTCGCTCGCCGACTGTTCTGTGTGTGTGTGTGTGTGTGTATGTGTGTCTTCACATCAGGGATTCTCAACTCGCGTCGATTCTCGGTTCTACGCACGGTAATACGAAAGATCGGTTGATGTAATTATCTTTCGATCATCTACGATACGTAGAATCATTGTCGTTGGGGAAATCGCAAGCGACGTTCCTCACTTGTCAAAGATAACGTCAAGTCTAGTGCTGTAACAGTGTTCTTTGTATCCTTATGTCGTCAGGTCAAATCGGTCGCGTAGCGAAGCTGAAAGACACTGAGCTACGTCATACGCTACCGGCGGCGCGGTGGGGTAGAGTCTCGAGATAAGCGGTAGTGGTAGTGATGTGAAACCATCGTGAGTCGGGCTGGTCGGCGGCAGGCCAAGGGAGCGGTACGCGGTACGGGAGAGAAGTTGGGTGCGACGCGGAGCAAGAGCGGAGGTAACGGCGCGGCGCGGTTTCGGCTTCTCGGCATCGGCTTCGGAAATGGCCGCGGGAAAGTAGAGAGCGGGAGCGTTTTGTCGCTGGCTGGCTGGCTGGTTGGTTGGTTGGTTGGTTGGTTGGTTGGATGGTTGGGTGGTCGGTTGGCCGGGTTGGATCGGTCGGTCGAGGTTCAAGTTTTTGGAGCACCGCGCGCGCTCGTTTCATCCCGGCGCATCCGAGTCGCGCGCGCGCGCGCGCGCGATCGATTCACGCACCAGACGATCTTGGAGACCAGCGTGTGAGATGTAAGAGCGGTGCGTGTGTGTCACGACGACCTGAGAAGACAACGGGAACTGTAAGCGAGGAACTTGGATACAGAGGGACAGAATAATTCGCCAGAACGATTCATCGTTTGATAGCGGTATACGAGATAGGATGGCCGGCGACGACGGAACAACGATGAACAATGAGATTCTTGGCGCACGGGGTGGCGCGGAGGAGGGGCAGGGTACGTCAACGCGAGGGGAGCTGCATTCCAGAGTGGGCGGCATTCTGGAATGCGATCCCCCCGGTAACAGGAATTCGTCGAACGAGCGAGCTGCCGCCGCCGCTGCCGCTGCCGACGACGAAGACGGTGTCTGCCGATATGCGGTCGGCGCTGCTAATCGCGCTATGTCTTTCTTCGAAATGTGTCAGGTAACATATATCGGCTATTATAAGCTTGTCAATTACTTGATTCATAGTCGGCATCCAAATTATCAATACTTATCCACGTTTATCAGCATCCACATTTTCTAAATTGAATATATATATATAAAAATAACTTGTTAAATTTTTATTGAATACTATGTCTTACAATGTAATTTTTGCAACAATCATTACAAAACTAGTTTTGCATTTAAGACAAAATGTCTTATCTTTTAGATTCGACTTCAACATCTCTTTCCACAATTGGGCCCACCACCACGATACAATATCCACGACGATTCTATAGAATCGACTGCCGAGAGTCTGGCCAATGATGTAATACGATACTTGTTAAAAGAAGATATCTATCTTATATCCCAAGATCCAGTATCTCGTAGCATGAGGCACAATGTATATCAAATGCTCAACAAACACAGCATTCTCTTTACAAGTATGGTAAATCGTTTGAACGTTGTTCCGGACACTGCATACGAAACATTTATGGGAGTTGCCAATGAATTGTTCTTACATGGAGTTATTACATGGGCTAGAATTGTTTGCTTATACGCTTTCATGGGCAGATTAGCTCTATGGGCTAGAGACAGAAGAATGCACAGTCTTAAAAAGAAATTGCCGCTATACGTTTCTAGATACGTTGGTGAAAATATAACGCATTTTATTAAAGGCTACGGTGGGTGGGTAAGTATTCATCACTAAAGGAGAAAAGAGCATATTCAAACTTTTACCTAAAATATACATACCTTGTATTTTTTTTTACAGGAACAATTATGCGTAGAATATCCTGTGGCTGAAGAAATTAGCGGAGCAATTTGGAGGAGTTTATTAATGACAGGAGCCACTCTTGGTTTGATCGCTACAATCTTGTCGGTGACTTCCTGATGGAGCCTTGCGAGATCGTGTGGTTTGAGTATGTTTTGTCCAAGAAATTACCGCGTACTTACGTTCTACGAGAACACGCTCGAAAGGGAAATGTAAACAGATTTTTTTCTATATAATGTACGTATAATATTACGTATTAATATACATTTCACGAACATCGGAACGATTCGATTCAAACGGAAAGTTTGCTACGTCTATACGAGAAACATACAAGATTAACAAAAGATACTTCAACGCGTTGACATACATAATTTTCATATCAACGTCAGTCTGCTTAGAATCATTCTACTTTTTATATAACTCCAGCCAGCATATATAGCATGAGCGACAGACAATGACGCTAGTTTCCTATTACAATACCTTATAACACAAACTAGTGAAATTATATATGTATAGTAAACAGAATATATCTTATTTAATTCTATAATAGACATTTTTTTAATATTAAAGTAATTTTCAACAATAATACTCAAAATTAAGGAAATTATTAGAAATTTATGCGAAACAAGAATCTCTTTTTCTCTCGAATTTTATTGAATTTAGGTAGACACAATATATTTATTTATAATTTATTTTAGGTAGAGAATATATTAAATAATAAATTTTTTTCGAATATCTTTTTGTATATAGAACTGATCGCATCCATACAATTTTAAACATTAAGAGATATATGTAATAGCGATGGAAAAAAACAAGAAATAGTTAAGAACTGTACCGTGATATATATTCAAATAACGGCTACTTTTTTACATGTCGATATATTCTATTATTATACACTTGCAAAAATTTTATATTCAGAGAATAAATACTTTTATAAAATAAAGATCTTTTTCCTGTAATCATTATTAAAAGAAGAGACAGGGAAGAAAGAAAGATTGAAAAAAATACCTACTACAAAGATAAAATTAGTTTATAAGACAATTTCACAGCAAAATAGAAAATTTAATATAATCTCTTATTTTTTAATCTGGGTGATATTTGCATTATTCATGTTTGGTAAAACTCAGTTCTCATACAACTATCAAATACTATTATCAATGGAAATTTACAGGGTAGAATACACACAACTTGCTGTTGCTATGAAAATTTCAATATAGTTTTTTGCTACTACAAATAAAAACTATGCTCACATACACATAAAATGATACAAAGACTTACTTGATATGATGTAAGTAAATTTGTTTTCTTGGAAAACACATTGAATCAACATTGTAGAGAGTATTTTTAATGTATCATTATAAATTATAAGTAAAATAAGTTTTAATATATATATATATATATATATATATATTGTTGCATTATGTCATGTCAAAGGGGGGGATCAGTCTTAATCACTACAAAATACTGTAAACGACATATGTCTAATGTATATATGTTTGCAAATAATCAAAAATAATAACTTCATATATGTGAAATAATCGTTATTCCTATTACGATGAACATAATCCTCCTAATTATATTTATGTTTAATCTGAAATATTAATCAATGAAGAAAAAAAAATACATTAATGCGTTTGAAATTTCATGTTAATAACGCTGTTTTTAAAAAAAACATTTTCTGTAAAAATATGTTGCAATATGTGTGAAAAACCATTTTAATATCGTAATTAAACATTTACACATGATCTGGATAATTTTGTTT